GTGTTTATTTACTGGAGTGACCTCTCCAGGGGCAGGTGTGGATAGAAGAAGGAAGCCACGAGGTGCCCAAGCAGCTGGCTTTGTGAGACTGAGCTTCGTCTAACCTCTACCCGTTGACCTTTCAGGCATGATTGGATCTACGGCTGTGAGAAGCCATCCTGTGTAGCTCGCGGGGTCATGGAGGCACGCAAGCCATCACACCACGCCAAGGAGCAGTCTCGTCGTGATGGATTCTCACCCTGTCTGGGGAAGTAATAGAGAAAGTAGACAAGGTTTGCTATCTGGGCAGCTGTATCTCACCTGGCGGACGCATCATAAATGAAGTGTCAGCGCGCATACAAAAGGCTCGGTTGCCATTTACCAACTTGAGACATTTGTGGTGCCGTGGGGACATCCGGCTGTCTCTGAAGGGTCTACATATCATTGCACGAGTCTGGTGGGGTAACCGGACTAGCAATGCTGAGGTTAGGCGTAGTTTTAGGTAATCGAGGTCGTCCGCTGGAGCAAGTAGTCGATTTGCATAGACTACGCTGGTTGGGACATGTGCTACCCATGTCATCAGATAGGTTGCAACGGCGTGTAGCGGTTAGAAAAAATCAAGGGTAATTAAACTAAGACCTGGCATGAGGATATGAAAACCCTCACCAGGAAACTGGGTCACATAGGTCCCGTTATGTTCACTGGCTGGGGACCTCGAGATCAAGATTACTAGTCGTTAGAGATACTGAATGATATTGCTGAGTGTCGCATACAGTGGTGCTCATGCATCTACTCAATATTCTTGACACATAAGTCTATATGAATTCTCTATCTTCCGCTTTAATTTGATTTTAACATTCCAATCTTCATTCTGCTCTCTTATCCAAATGGGTGGGCAAGAGTCAGCAATCAAAACCAGCGCACGAAAGTGCACGGTTAATGGTTGTAAACGCTAAACTGATCTTAACTCCACGTCATAGGCTGTCCATCTAGCTGTTTCTTGCAGCCCGGACCGATGTCGGCAAATAGTGCTCGGTATGGCAGACGTTGCTCAGGTATTCGTAGGGCGTACTCCAGCCGCCTAAGACGATGCAGTGAAATGGTTTTGCTCAATGAAAGATTATCTAATCCTAACACGTTTTTCACGCGATGCTCCCACATTACGCGGGCGATGTTGCGCAGACAACGATTGTCGAAAACGCATGGTCGTTGAACATGACCTGCTCGAAGAGGCCAGGCTTAGCAGCCACAGAGGAATACGGCGCAATACACACGCCCTTTCAGTGAAAAGGATATGTCGCACCGGCANNNCGGCACCAGAGATGCCGCGGATTAGCAAACGCTAATTTAGATTTCACCGCGCCTTGGAAGATCTAGCTCACACCTCCGCCAGCCGTTATGCAAGTCCCGAGGTAGACAAAGCGTTCGATTACTTCCATGGTGTGTTTACCCAACAAAATTGCAGGAACGGGTTCTTGCACTTTGAAGGCGTAAAAGACATACTATAACGAGTAACCTCAATTGCCAAACGATCCAGCGACTCTTGAATCGTCGGTGCGTTGTCACCGAGTAAGGCAATATCATCGACATACTCTAAGTCCACGACTCTGTCTCTAGGATGAATGGACGTCACCGTTCGTTACTTTATGTAACATGTTTTGAGAACGTCATCTGTGAGAATGTTGAGGCAAATGAAAAACATAGGGCAACCCTTTCGTACCCAGATGGTGACAGGGAATAAGAATAAAAGTTCACCATAAGCTCCAACCTTGACCCGAGGTCTGGCGATAGAGTACTTTTAAAAGTAGAGCTTACTTCTCAGGTACTCCGTATCTCCGCAAACAGTTCTACAGTACGGGGCGATCGATGGACTCGACAAATGATTTGGGTAATGACTCAACAACCCAGTTCTTTCCGCCTAAACCCATGTAATTATGTAAATGTCCATGTATGGTATTTTTCTTATAACATTCGGCCTATTTAATGTGCGTAGACAGCTGATTGAGAGCACGTGAACTTGATGACTAAAATCAATTCTGCTCATATAGTGTTACTTGTTTTATTCAAATGCACCATCAGTCTGATGTTCATGTCATGGTAAGAACAATGTCTAGACTAGCTTCTTTTGCTAGCATAGTTCGGGATTGAGGATGCGAATGGCAAGCGCCTCGGTTGTGGCAAGGTAACCCAACTACAAAGCGATCAGACGGGTAAATCTCCACAGCCAATGACCTCACAAAGTCCTGACAACCGTTGTTTTATGCGGTAACATGCCGTGACTAAAGACGAGTACAAACGTGCTCGAGAGTAAGCGGGTATTGGGTGAGAGTAAACACGGTGATCATTCAGGTTACAGCGATCTGTTAAAATAACATTATCCATGAACGAAATACATGCGTCATAAATGGCGAATTTCATTGCAAGTTTGAAACCTGATGCACCCGTACGCGTGACTGTCCGCTTGTTGAAAAGAGGTGCGACGAATAAAAATTAAAAGGGAGATCGATTACGGTAGAACAGAATTCAAATAAGTAGCGTTAGACCATGGATTAAAAATAGCTGCAGAAAAAGTAGGCTAGAGAAGGGTATTTTTCAGTTGTGTCAAACAAAGACAATTTTATAATGAAATGGGGTCACGATTTTATTTTTGACGGAACAGTATGAAGTTATCCGAAGCAAAGTAGTTAATTTTCTTTGGGGATTCGCAACCGGATTCTACTATTCGAAGCCTGTCCCGAAAAGCAGCTGGGCGGTTTCCAGTTCATCGGATCATACGCCATGCTGGCAGAGTCAAGCGTCAAGTGTCAATAAGTGGCTGTCTCCATTGAATCGCGATTATCGGGATGTGTTGACCGTATCAACGGATAGATTGTCTTAATACTTAATGTTTTCCGAGGGATATGAACGATATCACCGTCATCGTTTTGCGACGAAATATAGTGAAGAAAACTTGAGTGGTCGTTACGTCCTAGGCAATTTACATGAAGTACGGATACCTAAGGTGGATCGGTTGCAGACCCGTTTTGAGGGAAAGAAGGAGAAAATGAAATTCTTTTTGTCACAAATTTTGTTGTGATGAACAACAAACAGGGTGACTCCCGTAATCATGGAGACCTGCTCTTCCGTGATGGAAATCGGTATCTTCAGCCCCAGGACTTGGAGTGGCGAACCACATAAGGCCTCGCTAGGTTAGGCGTGGTATTGAACCGGACGACGCCAAAGCTGTCTACCACCAAAGTTGGATGGTGGTGGCGGGGCTCGAACCTCGGACCACAGAGTCCAAAGCGCGCCGATGGAAGCGACTAAACCGCCACCACCCATCATCACAGTACGCTTAAATTTTACTTGTCATAGGTTGAGGCCTAAACTGATCGCTTGAAAAGGTGACCAGCATATTTTACCTCGTAGGTCTTACGAGGCTTGAAAAGAGATGCTGATTTGATTTGGCCTAAAAAGGTTTACCTGTTGCGGATCTCAGGAACCGTGTTATTATCATTCGTGCATATACTCATTTTTCTTATGTTGAATATTCTCACATTTTTTGTCTCAGTAACTGTCGGAATTTGTTCCAATCTCACGTTTTTTGTTAGTCAGCTAAATAACCAACAATTCAGCATGAAAGCATACGGTTATTAGCCGTTCAGTCCAAAGAAGAAACAAAATTCGTTTGTGTTGATTTGTCCATGCTGATACCGGAAAATCTTGTGATAGTACTTAGGGAAAACGCGATTTCGGCCATAGGTATCAGTTACATTAAGGGCTTTTTCTTTTCAGTTTTAACAATGGACCGTTCGGGTTATGATCCGCAAAGAAGTGAGCTGCTAGACGATTCGGACAAGGCTTACCAGCCATGTTACGTTGCGCCCGAACCGGATGAGGTATGCATTTACATAGATTTCTAATTAAGTTTTTATGGAGTCTAGGATTCAATGTTTGATGAACTTTCTGATGATGATCAAGTGGCTGAACTTGGGTCACCCAGTGCCTATTTTGGCGATACTCCAAGATCTCTTGCTGGAGCTATGGGCTCCTCATCCGCTGCTTATGTGCCCGGTGCCAAAACCAAATTGGGCAATGAATCACCAGAGTCGGAAGACGCGGACAGCGAGGAGGATCACGAGTACCGTGTGAAACCAGTTCGCGATGTTACGACTCCAGCTTATGCTCCCAGCCAAACATTTGGATCTCCTTCTGTCGATTCACCTTCAGACGAGTATTCCGATGCAGAAATTGAACTTGATTCCCGCTCTAATTCAGCAAAACCCAAAATGGAACAAAGAAGTTCTGGTAGTTCAGACCAATCTGGGGCTCAAGCGCCGGCGGAAAATCTAGATACGGTTTCATCTCCCACGACGAATGAAGCTGTGGTCACATCAGAGAAACAGTCAGAAAGTAGAGAAGTGATCGAGGTCTATGAAGAAGGTGGAGAAGAAAATCAGTTAAATGAAGATTTTGAGGGTTTTGAACAGGATGAACAACCCGAGGCCCAAGTCGATGGTATTATAGCGGACATCTTTGGTGAGAGTGATGCCGAAGAGGAGGAATTCGAAGGTTTCGCCGAAAATGAAGTGGATGACCAGGAAAAAGGTGACGATCAAGATGCGAGCGGCGAGGAAGCTAGTAGAAGCCACTCGACCACTGCGAGACCGGAAGAATCAGGTTCAAGGAAACCCACAACCGATTCAGACGATAATGACGAGGATGACGGCGAGGAATTTGTGTCCGATTTTGATAAAATAATGAGTCGTAAACGAGATGAACTCAGGCGAAAACGGCGCCGTAACCGTGATATCGAGTTTCTCAACGATAGTGATGATCTGATTGTAGCTATGATCTCGCGTATGCGGGAAGCCGCTGATGAGGATCGTCAATTGCTATCAGAAAACAAACCGGCCACTCGCAAACTGACTATGGTTAATGAAGTTCGAGATCTGTTACGTCGAGCCGATCTGAAAGGTGCACTAGTGGAGAACGGCATGCTGTCTGCTATCACTGAATGGCTTTCACCATTGCCGGGGCATACTTTGCCAAATCTAATTATTCGTGATACCATGCTAACCTGCTTACGTGAATTTCAATCCCTTTCGCCTGAGGTACTTCAGGAGTCTGGCGTAGGAAAGGCCCTTATGTATTTGTACAAACATCCACGGGAAACCCGGGAAAATAAGGACAAAGCTCAGCGTCTGATAAGTGAGTCTCGTTCTAGCCTACTTGTTTTGATTGTGCCGGTTTTATTTCTATTTCTTTATATATATATATATTTATATATATATATATATATATAACACAGGCTTGTAGACATACACGGTGTCAACGCCACAACAATAATAACAATAACAATAATACGGGGCAGGTGGATTGGAATACAGAACAAAGTGGAATGAGGATGAAATAGGTAAAATGGAAAATGGTAGATAACTGGAATAACAAGCATTTTTATGTGTTTCACCGTACACTTTTTGATTTTTTTTACGGGGCACGGGATTTTGACAGGCAGACCGTACAGCATTCGCTCCACTGACTTCTGTCCTGGGTCATATCTCTCAGCGTCTCTAACGAAAGACAATCCTCATCTGTTGGGCCCCAACCTAAAACGCGGGCTGCACCAACCGAAGCCAAAGCTGAAGCTAACTTCTTCATACCTCTACGCCATGTCATGGTATGACCGCCGCGGCGCTTCTTCCAGCCTTGCCCGACATGTGCAAAGAAAGCACGGAAAGGTAGTCGATGGGCAGGCATACACAATACTTGATTAAACCATCGGAGGCGGTGTAAAGCGATTACTCCTGTTAGAGAACGACTATCCGGGTCCAACACACGACGACGGACCTATATATATAAACATTCAACTTTGGGGGTAGCAACTTTTTTGTTTGTTTCCTGCACCCCGTTTTGATTTTTTTTCGTTTTTCGTTTATTTTTGGGATTGCAAACAGGTGAGGATACATTCGGTGTCTCCAGCCAAAGACGATCTGAATCTTTGGGGCCCCAGCCGGGAAACCCCAACGAAAGCCAGATCCGAGCACAATCTCTTTAACCCTCTGCGCCTTGTCATAGCCTGTCCATCTCGTTGTTTCTTCCAGCCTAAACCGATGTCTGCGAGTAGTGCACGGTGTGGCAGACGGTGCGCAGGCATTCGTAGGACATGCCCTAGCCATCTAAGACGATGCTGTGAAATTATTTTGCTCAAGCGAAGACTATCTGGTCCTAGCACCCGTCATCTGACTTCATCGTTATTCACGCGATGCTCCCACCATACGCGGGCGATATTGCGCAGACAACGGTTGTCGAAGACTGATACGCGCTGGACGTGATCTGCTCGAAGAGGCCAGGTCTCGCAGCCATAGAGCAACACGGTGCGTATCGTTGCGCAATACACACTTTCAGTGAAACGGATATGTCGCACCGGTGCCAGAGATACCGCAGATTAGTAAACGCTAATCTGGCTTTGATTACGCGTTGAGAGATCTCACCCACACCGCCGGCCTTTATGCAACTCCCAAGGTAGACAAAGCTTTGTACTACTTACAGTATCATTACCCAACGAAAGTGCAGGAATGGTTTCCTGCCAATCTTGCAACAACACTTTGCACTTTGAAGGTGCAAACGACTGTAGCGAGTAACCTCAATTGCCAAACGGTTCAACGACTCTAGAGTCGTTGGGGCGTTGCCACCCAGTAAGGCAATATCATCGGCATACTCTCAGTTTACGTCTTTGTCCCCAGAAAGAAGCTCGACGCCAGCGTTCGTTATGTTATGTAACGCGTTTTGTAGGACATCATCTATGGCCAAGTGGGAGAGGAACGGAGAGATAGAGCAACCCTGTCGCACCCCACTGGTCACAGGAAATTAGGGTTACATCCACCATAGGCCCTAACCTTCCCCGAGGTCTGGTGATTGAGCGCTTTTAGGAGTGAGACATACTTCTCGGGTACTCCGTATCACCGCAAATGGTTTCACAGTGCGGGGCGATCGATATAATCGAAAGCCGCTCTGATGTCTAAAAACACAACAATGGTTTGCCGTNTCCCACCATACGCGGGCGATGTTGCGCAGACAGCGATTGTCGAAGACTGATAGTCGCTGGACGTAATCTGCTCGGAGATGCCAGGTCTCGCGGCCATAGAGCAACACAGTGCGTACCGTTGCGCAATGCACACGTCCTTTCAGTGAAAGAGGTATGTTGCGCCGGCGCCAGAGATGCCGCAGATTAGCGAACGCTAATCTATCTTTAATCACGCGTTGAGAGGTCTTTTCACCCACACCTCCGCCAACCGTTATACAAGTCCCGAGGTGGGCAAAGCTTTCGACTGCTTCCAGAGTGTGATTACCCAACGAAGTTGCAGGAATGGGTTCCTGCCAATCTTGCAACAACACTTCGCACTTTGAAGGTGCAAAGGACATACCATAGAGAGTAACCTCAATTGCCAAACGGTTCAACGACTCTTGAGTCGTTGGTGCGTTGTCACCCAGTAAGGGAATATGATCGGCATACTGTAAGACTACGACTCTGTCTCCAGGACGAATCTAGACGCCAGTGTTGGTTACGTTATATAACGTCNGTCCCCAGGAAAAAGCACGACACCAGCGTTCGTTACGTTATGTAACGCGTTTTGTAGGACATCATCTATGGCAAACTTGAAGAGAAACGGAGAGATAGGGCAACCCTGTCGCACCCCACTGGTGACAGGAAATGAGGGTGAGAATTCACCATAGGCCCTAACCTTCCCCGAGGTCTGGTAATGGAGCGCTTGTAAGATTGAGAAATACTTCTCGAGTACTCCGTATCTCCGCAAACAGTTCCATAGTGCGGGGCGATCGATAGAGTCGAAAACTGCTCTGATATCTAAAAACACAACAATGCTTTGTCGTCTGTATCCGTGGCGGTGTTCCAGTAGCTGACGGAGGGTAAAGATTTGATCTATGCACCCACGGAGTGCACGAAACCCGGCCTGCTCCTCGCGGGTTTGATTCTCACGGAATGAGCATAACCTGCGTAATAAAACGGACGCTAGTAGCTTCAGTGCTATTGGAATCAGACTTATTCCCATGTGGTTGGAACAGGCCTGCGATAGCCCTTCTTGTAGACAACCGACTCTCCCCATGTGTGGGGTACACTTTCAGTTTCCCAGATCTTCGAGAACAGTCTCAAAAATTCTCTTACGAGAGCATCTCCACCATGTTTAAAGAGGGCAGGTGGCAGGTCATCTGATCCAGCTGCCGTGTGGCGTTTCAGGGCTTAGAGTTCTTTTCGGATCTCCGCTTCTGTGGGTGGTCGCGTGGATAGTGGCCAGGGTGCACTCTCAAGAGAACTTCTGGGAGCAACCAGCGCGAGGGGCTGGTTGAACTGCGATGTGATGTGCTCCGCCCTGCGTTCCAATCGTCGATGAAGGCCGTTTATTAACGTACCGTCTACTTCGCAGATTGTTCCACTAACGCAGTCTTTTGGGGCCTGTAGCACGGGTGAGCTGGAATAGTTGCCGAGTGTTTCCAAACCTAGCCGCTGATTCCATCTCCTTTGCACGTAGCGTCCACCAGGAATCTCTGTCGTCTCTCAAACTCTTTGTGAGTTCACGCTTCAGGGAGAGGCGCTGTTCGTGGTACTCGCGGTCTGCCGGGATTGCCCGACGCGCGTCGAGGAGTCTGAGAGAGTTGGAGGAGACCCAGTGATTTACAACTCGGTGGGTTAGGCCACAACTGTGTAAACTGGCTGAGTGCATTGCGTTTTGAATGGTTGTCCAGTGTTGATCTACGCTACTTGGTGGGGTAGTAGTTAGCTTTGCGGCCAACTCGTTTTGATAATCGGCTTGTAAGGCCGGGTCAGAGAGCTTGAAGATGTATAACTGTTTGCATCGCATCTTTTTGCGGCCATCAAACCGCACAGACAACTTTGCACAAACCAGCGTGTTGTCGGAGTCCAAGCAGGTAGACCAATACGAACGCCGGTCTTTTGTACATCCTCTCTATCTATAGCTAATAGCTATATGGGCAATCTGACTCCATATCTATACCGAAGAGGGGTTACTCTAGGTGACGAGGTTGTCTGAAGTTCGTGCTAACGAGGAACAGCCCGTGTTCTGTGCATATGCTAAGAAGTCTATCCCCATTATCTGAATGACAGCTATCAAGATCATGACGGCAACCAAGGTGGGTCTCATCGGGTGACAGACGACCAACGCGTGCGTTTGTATCTCCGGCCAGGATCACGATATCCGTCTTAGGTCCTTGGAGCAGAAGCTCATGTAGGTTGTGATAGAAGGCGTCCTTGACTGTATCCGGGCTACGGTCTGTGGGAGCGTATGCAGGAACCACGAATAAGCATCGTTCATTTGGTTTCTGCTTTTTAACCCTACTTGGGCCTCTGAGTCTCACTGCGCATAGTCGGCTATCTATCGGGATTCAATCCAATAGACCAACCTCGGCCCTGGCGCTTAAGCAATACTAACGCCTGCTTGGACCGACGCTGAAGCGATATGGTCCCCGGAGACTCGCATTTGAAACGCTTCTTTTGGGTAAGNTTGGGTAAGAAGGAGACGTTAATCGGATCACTGAGCCCGAATCCTGGATGCGTGTTTCCGAGAGGCAACACACATCAATCTGTAGACTTTCGGGCGTACGAGCCAAACGTGTTTGTTGTCCTATGCGCATTCATCATCATCATCGTACAGCGAAATACAGTGAAGCGAATTTCACTGACTGCTCCTAAACTCGCAATGCATACAAGGTTAGTGGTAAAATTTAAGGTAGACAGAGATTGGATCTATTCGGAAGGCGGGAGAAGATGAGTCACTATGGTCAACACACAGAGTACGCAATCGAACTATGCATACAAAACGTTTCAAGCATT